ATAACGAGTTACTTTCCATCTACTGGTTTAGTTTCCAACCTTGAATATAATATCTACTGCATCGATACGCGTTATCTTACACTCACGCATTAATTGTTTGTTAATGTTACGTAAATAATAGTTTGTGCACATTATGAATTGTAACCAAATTATTTGCGGACAAAGTAATTTGGTTACATGTTTATTTAAAATTAAACGTTTATACGTTGTATTCGAATTATTTTCATTTTAGTATTTGCGAAAGAAATAATTTGGTTAAATGTTTACTGAATAAATATTTATATGCTAATATAATTTGGATAATTTAGATTGCGATCATCTATTTTATTATTTACTTCTTTGTCTATATTTTGTTTATATTTACTATATCTACCAAAACTTTTTTGCTATAGTATTTTAAGTTGTGAATTTTGGGACACCCTATATATCATTTCTTTTTTTGCACATGTATTGAAGATGATTCAATTCTGCTTTAGAATGGCATACGATCCTTGACAAATGACTCATTTCGATTCATTTTATCTTTACTTTTTGTAGCTCTTTTTCAATCTCCAGTGCCCTGGTGAACAGCGGTCCGCGCACTGCGTACTCCATTTTGCGAAGGTTCACGAAGACATTGTTCTCAGTGAGAACCTTATCGCGCGGGTTTGACGTCGCCGTCGTCGTCACTGCATTCGATGCCATGCCGCGACACAAACTAATCGGCTGGAATCGCATCGATGCAGAAGACTCTTGTGTATCCAACATCCCTACTCCTCGCCATTCCGATCAGCACCCCATCCCCAAATAGAATATAAAAGTCATAAGAATATTTTATAAAACTTTCTTTATTTTTTAAAAGTCTGATAGAAATAACACAAAAATGATCTAGAAATGAGAAAAGAAATCGTAGGCTATAATATAATTAAGAATGTTCCTTTTTTGTTTCTAAAATATATAATATAATGTTGGAATAATGTAGATAATAAAAGATAAATTATAAAAGATGACTATAATACATATGTGATCTTATTGTAATCTTATTGTGATTTTAAGATTTACACTATATCTAAATGCTATTTTTTTTTTAATGTTTATTGCATCCATGTATATAATATTTGAATATGTCTGATATTTCTTTTTTTTTGTGCAGAAATGTTTCTTCTTCTGAATCTGACCATCGGTTTTCAATTTTACACTCAGCAAAAAGTTAGAAAAAAAATTATAAACTGTATTAGATAAGTCATATAGTATGTAGTTACCAGAGTTGGGTAAGTTGATGTTTTTTTTAAACTAAATTAAGTTACAAGTTAATGGCTTATAAAATTAATAAAATTAAGTTAAAAGTTGAAGGAATAAAGAATTAACTTAATAAAAGTTAAGTTAAAATTGAATTAACTTAAGTTTAAAAAAAAGTTAATTTTGAAAAAGTTATTTTTGAGATCAGAATGTCAAAATCTTGAGAGAAGAGTAGGATAAAATCAGGGATTATGGCATAGTGGCTACTAATATGGG